CATCTCTATACTATTACTAGACAGATATGTTCCAATTGTGTAATTATAGAGGAGGATGACTGTAGAATAATTTATTAATATATGTTTAAAATCTTTAAATTTTAAAAGTATGTTAAAAGTATAAAATTAACTATTAATATAAAAGTTCAAGATCAAGATAATATTGACAAAAAATTTTGGTAATTTTTTATTATAAATTAGTAAAAATTAGAAACCATATATTCAAAACAATGCTTCGGCTTTAAGATTTAATTTAAGAATTTTAAAGAAAAAAATTAGAAACTTTAGATCAGGACAGTGCCCGGATTCTAAGAGTTAATTTAAAATATTTAAACCTAAGAATTAGAAATATTTAAACCTAAGGATTAGAAAACAATTAGAAACCTCGGACCTAGGGCTACGCCCAGGTCTTAAGAGCTAGTTTTTATAATTATAATACTCTAAAAAATATTAAAAAACAACTAATAAGTTTGTATTTGTATATTTATTAAACTATATGGGATCTTTGCTAGGAAAATCACCCTTCGGGATTTTCCGATCGGGCTAATTTGGAAAAGTTTAGACCAGAATGCCGATTCTTATTCATGTGTAAATTTATTTATTCGATCGAATCAGTAAAGTAAAAAGATGGTTTACATATGAATAAGAAACGACATTCTGGTCTGAACTAGCCCGAAAGATCACATATAATTTCAAATATTGTTAGTAAATGCTTATAGTAATCTTGAAGTAATATATTAAAGAACTATAATCAAATCATTTTAATAAAAAATTATTAAAAGACTGAAATGTAAAAAGAGGATCAAAAAGAGAAATTAAAGATATTAAAAAAGATTTAAAAAAGGTTAGAAAATTTCTTAATTATTATTGTAAATTATATTATTGATATTCAGTATGTCATGTTAAAAAATAATAGTCTGTTGTTTCGCCATAATCATATGAGTTTGCCGAATAATAAAATTTATTTCATGTTTTTATATAAACATGTGAATGAAGTTTTCAACTTTTAATTACTAAAAAAAAAACAACCAATTTTACAATAGTGCTATTATTTTCCTGGAAATGCTTGTTATTTTCATTGTAATTCTCGATATTTTTTCAAATGCACGTTAAAATTTATACAATATTTGAAAATAATTCTTTAGCATGTATGATTGGTTTATTTTTGGTGACCACAGTAATATTATTTAAATGAAGGTTTTTAAATTCTCAGTCATATGATAGAATACCCATTTAGTCTATTTTTCGGATAGTTGCGAATTTTAGATATCCGCTTGTAGATTATCCGGATAAATCTGTTGAATTAATCAAAAATAGTCGATTCTAGATATAACGAATTTTTTATAACAAACAATCTAAATAGAAAATTTTTGTCAAACTTAACAAATTTTTACTATAAGAACTATTATAAAAAAAAGCTAGCCGCAATCAGAATATGTATTTTCTTAATATCATCAATGCATATACATAGTAATATAATAAATAGTAAAAATATTATTATTCGATCGAGCAACTCAGAGAAATTCGCTAGATAAATAATTTTCACTATATATCAATTATTACGATCATGAATAAGTTATGTAAAAAAAAAAAGGGTTGCGCTTAAGATAAATACGTTTTTTATAAGAAAGAATTCTCTATCCAATGTTACGTATAAAATATGTCATTTTATTCATGCCAAATATTAATGCTTCATCATTATTAATCGAAGTATTAGATAGTTTAATAGATATCCAAAAAAAAAAATCTTTAATCAAAGTTATATGTTGCGTATAAAATATATCATTTATTCAAATTTATATGTTACGTATAAAATATATCATTTATTCATGCCAATATCTAATAGAAAATCCACGGATCCAAGCACTAAACTTGACTATATTATTAAAAGCAAAGATTTATTTGATAATTTTCTTAGTCGCAAAAACATTGATATTGACCCATTTGGGTCATCGTTATTGACATCGTTATTGAAAATTTGTATGACGTTTTTAATAACGCATCTATGAGTTTTTAATAGTTTTCTTATTGAGCCTTCTTTAACCAAGTAAAGCTCATTATTTTATTATTTTGTGTTCAGAATAAGTTGAAGTCGAAAGAATTGAAAACTGAATTGATGTTGGTGTTTAGGAAGTTGAAGACACCATACCAAAGAAACTCCACAGTTAACGCTATCATTATTAAATTCATTACTACATCAGTTCAGAAACGAGTATAAAAAGGGTAAGTCTAAATATATAATATAATTTTTAATTAATTAACTATCGCTATAAAATAGGTTAAAACAAAGTAAAGAAATCGCCAGCTCATCATCTTCATATAAAGCTACTAAACTATGTGCACTAGAAAATCTTTTTTCTGAAAAACAAACTAATTGAAAAATATTTACTTAGATAATAATAAAGAGTTGAATACGAAAAGGTTATTTACATTGCTCAATGGAAAAAATAATACTGTAAGGCGAAATAAACAACTTGTAAAATAAAAAGTTATTGAGAAAATGAGATTTATAAATAAATACGGTTAATTCTCTTTTTGAAGTATTAATCGAAAGGTTCATATGACGTGTGATATTATACAACAATACTATATCACAATGCAGCAATTATTATTTTTTTTAATAAGCAATGACGATGGTTCAAATGGGTCAATACAGCAATATCAATGCTTTTTGCCTCGTAATAATAATAATAATAATAATAATAATAATAATAATAATAATAATAATAATAATAATAATAATAATAATTTTATGATATTTATCATCGCATAATCCAATATCGATGTTATCGCAAGTCATTATATAGGCTAACTGAGTTTTAATTCGAGATTGTTGTGCTTATGTAATAACGTACAAAAAATAACTATGATAATAAGAGTTGCATGATAATTAAAGATACACTCAGAATCAGAGAAGAGACAAACTCGTTGCAAATGTTAGTTAACAACTAATAACAAATCATAAAGTCTGACATAATCTTTAAACCTTAATAATATAATTATGTTCTATATTTATAAAGAGTCTTTTCCTATAGCAGAAACTAATTGATGCCAGAAAGGTTTTCACAAGAGAATAATATGGATCTTGATATACTGTAATAATAATGTTATGTAAAATATATACACAGTATAAGTTATATTATATAATATTTTTTTCTAAAGCGAAAAATCTAAAACATTACCGTTTATTTCTAGTTATATTAAATTGCTTTAAGTTCCAAATATGATCTTATGCAGGGTTAAAAACGATCTATATTAAATAGATGCCATTTACTGCGCCGATGTCCATTGCTTAAAGTGTCCTTTTTGATTTTTCAAAATTGGGGTATTTAAATTATTGCGATCTTTACTACTAATGTGAATAATGTGAATAATGTGAATAATGTGAATCAAGAACGATACTTTGCGAATAGGCACTAATTGATATACGCATGTTGTTACAGCCCTGATCCTTATGGAAATTTATGAACAGCGGCAATGTGGTAATGAGGCATTAGACGGCATTGTGACAATGGCATTGAGGATTGCGGGTTGAGTCTTTTGCGGAAAACAAAAAAAATACGGCAGTGCAGCAATTTAGTAATTAAATTTGATGTTACCAGAAGAAAAAAACGATGCGTATTTTTTCAAATTCAAGAGTTAACTTGAAACAAAAACAAGTTCATTTATGACTACAAAAGGTAGATACCAATTTCGCCCGAAATAAAGAGACAATTCGAAAAAAAACAAACACACGTTCTTTTATGATGAGTACAAAAAATCATAAACCAATTTTTCCGACAACTATTCGACAACCATTTCGATGAAAGAATTGCCCGATTTAGATTAGCTGATTGATAGTCGGTATTGACTACAGGACTAGAAGCAGATTCATCGGCAAATTCCACCAGATCCGTCACACAAAGGCAATTTTAAGACAGATCATTAAAATTAGTATTTCCGTCAAAAATTTCTAATTCGTGACAAACCCTATTTTTTTTAGTTAAAACGTAACTTATATAATTGGTAACAAAAGCAAAAACCTAATGTTAACCAAATTCAATGTGATTAGTTCAAAATTGTATATAAATTATTTTATTACTGCAATAACAAAGGCAGATTCATCAACAAAACGCTCAATTTTTTTTTGGTTAGAAAATAATTAGATAACAATGAAAAGTTCAAGCTAATACGTACAAGTTTTAAAAATATAATTAGTTAAAAACTTTAAATTGTAAAACCTTTTTGATATACAATACAATACAATACAATACTGATCGTTTACTGCGGAAATGCACCTCATATGATCATGATTAATTCAGCAATTATTCAGCAATTTCTAACATCGTACTTACGTACGTACGTACGTAAGTAAGTAATTAGAAGCCACAATGTATAATATAAGGCTTTTATATCAGTATTGAATGCCAACGCCTGACCTGGTTATTCGGATTTATTTCCATTTTTAATAACAAAAAAAAGTAAATGGCTTTTCATATATTGCATTTCCTTCTTTAGCAATGATTTTAAAAAAAAAGTTTTGATGTTTATGATAGGTCTTTTTTGTTTAGGGTAGAACAAAAGTTTAAGGCCTAGAAAAGAAAGTTCTATGTTTGATAATGCATAGCTTTTTAGGCAATTTTTTTTCGGTTTGATCATCCTTATACAATATACCTTTTTTAGACGATTGTTTATAATTGTTTTGTTTATGGGTCCCGCAAAAATATAAAAGTACCTTTCATTTCGCTTAATTAAACAAAAAGTCCGATTTTCTTAGAAAAGTGTGTGTACGTGGATACAAACTAAAAAAACCTTACTTTCGAGTTTTTGTTGTACCTTATTTCTTTATTCTTTATTTTTAACTTTGCTCTTTCTTCATGTTTAAAAAGACTATATTATAACCATTTTGCAAAGTACTTTAGTCTGAGACACCTGTAAGTTTACACTGCGATCTGTTGTTAACTCCGGTCATTTACGAAACCTTTTCTTGATAAATTTTATTTTATTTTAGACTTTTCGAAATGTCTGATTTTAATTCTCAATACAACACGAACTCGGTATATAAAATTTTGAATATATATTTTTAAACTTTCAAGTCGTTTTAATGACTCACTACGCGTTCGCTTTTGCTTTTTCTTAGACACTTTGGGGGATTTTAGAAAATGAACAACCACAATATTATGAAACAAGTATATCTGATAATTCTCAATCTTTTTACTTTGAAGAGGATAATGAAACTTCACCCGTAGATCAGATCAATGAAAATCAAAAACGTTCAAATCCATATATGCATTCGGGAGGCTTTGATGATCACGAAAGGTACTGTATTGTATTGATGTCTATTTTTTTTTTAAAAGTAATTATTAAGTGATTATTATGGGTTGTTATAGGTTTTTACCTATTTATAGTCATATGCATGCAATTACTTTTTTGTTAATTTTTTTATTGAAAAAATTCTTGTCAATTATTAATTATCAATTATCAATTATTATTATTATTTATTATTAAAAAAAAAAATGTTTTTTTTTTAAAATCTATTATTAGGGCTGTTAAAATGGCTAAGCTTGATGAATCAGAATTATCAACATACGGTGGATCAGAATTATTAAATTATAGAGATCCAAATTTATCTTCGTGTGAATCGGATTTATCATTATATGGTGATCAAGGTTTGTCATCATATAGTGATCAGGGATTGTTTACGTATGGCGGTCAAAATTTTTTGTCATCATATGAAGAGCCAGGGTTGCCTAGCTTTGATTATCTTTTTGCGCCTTTCACATCTTTGTATAAACAAGATGATATTGACGGTCAACTACCTTTACAAGATAATATTAGACCATATATTATTGATGAACAACTACCTTCGCAAGAAATTGATGAACAACTACCTTTACAAGAGATTAAGCCGTGTAATATTGTTGAACAACCATCTTTACAAATGGTCGAACAGTATGAAATTAATAAGCAACCATCCTTACAAGTAGCTAAACAATACGTGGTTGAAGAGCAAGCGACTACTTTACAAGATAATCAGTATGAAGCAAAAGAACAAGCTTCTTTACAAGATAATCAGTATGAAGCAAAAGAACAAGCTTCTTTACAAGATATTAAACCGCATGAAGTTGAAGATCAACCATCTTTAAATATGATTAAACAGTATGATATTAGTGATCAATCTCCATTACGAGAGGTTAAAGGGTTTGAATTAAATGACAAATCACCTTTACAAGAAATTTCTCAATACGATGTTAATGGTCAATTATCTTTACAAGATATTAAATTATACGATGTTAATGATCAATTATCTTTACAAGGAGCTAAGCAACATGAAATTGATGAACAATCGTCTTTACAAGATATTAAACCGTATGTGATTGAAGAAAAATCATCATCTCAAGATATTAAACCGTATTCCTTACAAAATCTTAAATGTGAAGTTGTTGAACAATCTTTACAAGATATTAAACCGTCTCTGCAAGATATTAAGCCGTCATCTATTTCGGATTCTGATGAAGTTGAAGTTATTGATCTTACGGAAGATGATGATAATGATACTATTCTACCAAGTTTATCAAGTTTACCAGCTTTATCAAGTTTATCATCTTTATCAACTTTACCTGCTTTATCAGCTTTATCAACTTCGGCATTCATTAAACAAGAACCTATATCTACTACTGTCGGGAACAATAGTTTAATTTCATCTTTAAATTTATCTCAACATTCTTTATTTAGTCCCAATCGTACCCCTTTATTTTCCACTGTTAATAATCCCATATTTCCCGCTGTTAATACAATTCAAAATCCAAATAACATTTTATCTCAAAACAATATTACTCCTTTACCATCCAATGTTAATAGCAATTTATTATTCAATTTAAACAATTCTCCTTTACCTAATGAAACCAAACCAAATATATTCGAAAACAGACCAGGAACTTATTCAAAATCTATAAATATTCAAGATCTTTTGGAGATGATACCTCTGGATGAATCTAATAAGACTCCTGTTTCTGAAGCAATGCGTAAAATAAATGCTCGTAAAGGAATTGTTCCTGGTTTATCCATACAATTAATGAATCATCAAGTAATCGGTGTTTCTTGGATGGTGGATCAAGAAATAAAAGATAAAGTTAGAGGTGGTATTCTCGCTGATGACATGGGGCTAGGCAAGGTAATAATAATAATAATAATAATAATGTTAATAACGTTAATAATAAATAATTGTTAATATATTTTAACTTTGGTTAAAATCTCTTAATTTACTGAATATTGATAATTTTAAGTCATGTTACTTATATTGTAGTTTAACCTAGGTCAATTATTTATAATCATGATTATCTATTATTTACTTAATATTAGACTATCCAAACAATTGCAACTATGGTGATCAATCGTCCTGATACGAAAAAATCGAAATCTTCAAAATCGACTTTGATAGTTGCTCCAACAGCTCTTATTTATCAATGGAAAAGCGAAATTTTAAGTAAAACTGACCAAGGTATCTTTCTCTCCTTTCTCTCGGAGTTTTGTTGAATTTTTGTTGAATTTTTGGATTTCAACTTCTTAAATATTTATATTTAAAAATTCTCTCTTTTTTTTCGTTAGGTCTATTTGAAGTATATGTATATCATGGTCAGAATAAAGCGAGTTATCATAATTTAAAAAAATATGACATTGTAATTACAACCTACCAAACTCTCCTTCGTGAATGTCCCGAAACTGATGATGGTGATAAGGGTTCTTTGTTTAGAATGAATTGGTATAGAGTGGTTTTGGACGGTAATACCACACCGCATGGTCATTATGATTGTAAAATAAAATCCGTAATAAATTTTTAATCAAGGATTTCGAATCTTAGAGGCTCAAAATATTAAAAATCGTAACTCACGTGCGAGTAAGGCATGCGCTTTGTTAATGAGCAATTATCGATGGTGTTTAACTGGTATTTTTTTTTTTTCTTGTTAATGAATTTAGTAAAATTTATAATGAAGTTTTTTTTTTTAATAATTATTGTTATATTTCATTTGTCATTTACAGGAACTCCAATTCAAGTATGTATATTTCGAATGTTCTTAATTATTTTTTATTACCGGTAGTTAATTTATTAGTTAATTCATTAATTTAACGATGTTTTGAAAAAAAAATTTTAGAATCACATCGATGATCTTTATCCTTATTTCCGCTTTCTCGATATTTCAAATTTTTCGGAGTGGCAACTGTTTCATGAACAATTTAGCTCTGCATCACCAAGAGCTATTCAAAGAGCGCAAACTGTTCTTCGTGGATTCCTTCTGCGTAGGACCAAAGATTCTAAATTGGACGGAAAACCACTGTTGATTCTTCCCGAAAAAACTGTGTCTTTTGTTAAACAAGATTTTTCACGAGATGAAAGAGAATTTTATGACGCTGTATGTTTCCTTTTATTACATTCACTTAATAATTATTTGTAACGTCGTCTTATCATAAAAATTATTACTTTATTTAGCTCGAAAAACGATCAAGGATAGAGTTTAATCGCTATCTAAAAGAAGGTATATATATCGTGTGCTAGTATTAAATTGATATCAAATCAATGTCTCATTGATATTTTTAACTAGGCTCCGTTTTGAAGAATTATGCGTATATTCTTGTGATGTTGTTGCGTTTACGTCAGGCATGCAATCATCCATTTTTGTAAGTACCGACACTAAAATCCTAAAAAAAAATATATATCACTTTTTGAGATTTGAGATTAATACAATTTTATTTTCATTTAAATAAAGGACACAAGAAGATATCGGGCACGTTATTACATCGGCTGATGACTCTAGAATGTCACATAGTTCATCTTCAAATTCTTATTCCCATGAGAAAGATATACCTAGTCAACTTGAACGAGCTAAAAAACTTTTTTCTGATAAAGTTATTACTCGACTGTTTGAAAAATATAAAGATAGTAATCCTAACGATGATTGTCCAATTTGTTACGATATGTGAGTATTTATTGTCAAAAAATCTTTGTACAATTTTCTTTTTTTTTCACACATATTCTTATACTAGTTTTTTTTTTTTTTTTTTTTTAGTATTGATAATGGAATTGTAACAACATGCGGTCACGTTTTTTGCTTTGGTAATTAAATATTCATGTATTGATTTTATTTAATTATTATGTATTCATATAATGAATATTATTTGCAATTATATTTTTGTATCAGACTGCATTAAGAACGCTATTGACTCGGAAAATAGAGAAAACGTTATTGATGTTGAAGATAGAAAGTGTCCCATTTGCCGTTCTGCTATTAAGTATGTTGATTTTGTTATTTACTGTGATTGCATTTTTAAATTATTTATTTATTATTTACTTACATATTTTATTTATGAAAATCAAGGGAACGTGACTTTATTAGCTTAGAAGTGTTTATTCCACCTGTAAAAAATGAACTACATGATGATGACGACGACGTTGAACTTCCTACACTGGACGAAGTCATTTCAAGTTCTTTTAGTGGATCCGATGATATCTTATTCTCTTCTAAAAAAGATGATTCCGAAAAAAACGTTGATCTTGCTAATATTAGTGGAACCAACAATAAATTTGCTAACGCACCTGTAGGTTTATTCTTGTCTTCTACGAAAATTGATCAATTAATGAAAGAATTAGCTCTTGCGCAACAAGAAGACCCTGGATGTAAAACGATTGTTTTCTCACAATGGACTTCAATGCTGGATTTAGTCGAAAAACCTATTAGAGACGTCGGATACAAATTTTGCAGGGTGATTTTTTTTTTGATGTTTCATTAATATCGTAATTTTATTTAAAAATTTTTCTCATAAAATTAATTATATTTTTTCTTTAAAAAAAAAAGTATGACGGTACTATGGATGTTAAGGAACGTGATAATTCTTTACAAAAATTGATACAAGATGCTGAAGTTACTATTATGCTTGTTTCTTTGAAAGCTGGTAAGAATATTTTTCCTAGTATATTTATTTATGCACGTGACATGACAAATATTTATATTGATCTTTTTTTTTTTTTTTTAAGGTGGTGTTGGTTTAAATCTCACCAAAGCGAATAGGGTGAGCTTTTTTTTGATAATAGTCTTTTTAGATAATTTTTTATTTTTATATTCTAATCTTGCGAAATTTTCAAATTAAGGTTATTATGCTTGATTGTTGGTGGAATCCAGGTAAATTTTTGTTAAGTAAAATCAGCTGTTAATTTACCAATTACTATCGTAATCATTAATTTATCGTCTATTTTTTTTTTTTATTTGATACCTTGTAGCCGTTGAAGGTTCGTAATTTTTAACTTTGATATTTTTGAACTATCTTTTATTTATTTTTTATTTACATTTTTTTTTTCTGTTATAGATCAAGCGGTCGATCGAGTTCATCGTATTGGACAATTTAAGAAAGTTATTATAAAGCGACTGACTATAAAGGACTCCATTGAAGATCGTATTTTAGTTCTTCAGGATAAAAAGGTACCTTTGATAAATAAAAATGAAGTATTAATTGAATTGAATTTGCATAAATATTCATACGTATATATATTTTCATTAATAGCGAGAGTTAGCTGCAGGCGCTTTAGGAGAAGGAAGCATTAAAGTCGGAAGATTGACAGTAGAGGATTTAATATTTCTTTTCCGTTAGAGATCATGAATCATTATAAATAATTTGTAAGGATGCTGAAATCGAAAAAATTTCAGCTAATATGATTTTCATTTAGAATAGAAATTTAGTTAAGCTATTGTATATAGATTTGTTTACCAAATATTATGTTTCTTGGTAAAAATGCATTATAAATAATTTGACAAGGGGTACCCGACTGCCTACCTGCACAATTCAATAGATGGTGCCTAAAACCTTTTTTAATATATTATTAATTAATGAAAGTGATTTTATTATTATTATTATTAGTATTATTATTTATTATGGCATAGAAAATGGATTTTAAATATGATTTAATTAATAAATGAAATTATATATAATTGGATTGTTTGGTAGGATCGTGTATCTAATCATGATTACCAAGATATATTTATTTAGTTTAATAATGTTAAAAGATTTAATTAATTAATTAATTTAAGTTAATAATTAATTAATATTTTTATCATTATTAAAAAAAAAATCAAATTACGTACATATAGATTTTCACGCATAAGTTTTTTTTAAGAAATAAGTTTTTATGAAATTATGATAATATCATGATGTATGATTGTATGATCCAAATACTCCGGCTCAAAATCGAATAATGTAATATGACACTTCATCCTTGCTCTAAATATGATACGCTTTATGTAATATGCGCACGATCAAAGAGTGTGGAAATACTTTGTTCCCTTATAATTATGCCACACTCTTATCATACATTACGCATAATTTAAACAGCAATATTTAATAATAAGTTTAAATTAAAAATGGAGTATAAAATTGCTTAAACGTATTCTAGATATAATATATAGTGGAAAAGTTTCAAAATTGAGGATATCCTGTAAAATATACTAAAAACTTTCGCAATCCAATTAGTAATGAACAAAAAACCCCGCAAAAAATCCATAAACAACCAAAATCATTCGTAATTTCAAGCTTTGACACTTATTATTCTAAATAACGCACATGGGCATATACCAATTAGAATCAAAACAAATAGCCTTGAAATTTTATTTAAAAAAAATTTTATAGAGTGACACCAAGGGATCAGAATACTTTAATCCAATATTTAATTCACATTGCATAATTTATTAGAAAATGAGTATTTTAAAAATTCAACCCATTTTTAGAATCAAACTCGAGATTGATTTAAATTATTTTTACATGAATTGAAAAATTTTTTTCAACTTTTTTTAGCTGATCAAAATTATCATCTCTATTTCTGTTATCACCATTTCTTGCGAGCAATGCTAGGAAAAAATCTTTTAAGTGATTATTCATATTTTTAGGTACAATTCGTTGAGTTAATTTATTATACGAACATTGTGAATCTATATGTGCATTTATGTTATATTGTTTATTTAAAGAAGTTTCATTATTTTTAAAGGTCAAAAAAAAATATATATATGCAAAATTCAATATTAAATCCGGTATGGATATAAAATGATCTGGATAACGTGTTTGACTCATGTGCATAAAATAACAAAAAATGTTGGATATAGCTACGTAATTACAATTTACTTACAAGTTTCTGGTAAACGATATTATTATTACAAGTGACAGAGACCAAACACTATTTCTTTTGCAATATACGTATAGTTTCAGTCCATTACAATGATACAAAATTTAGACTTAGTTATTCTTGTAAATTCTCATCACTGACGTGTTGTAAAATGTATACTATTGTAATATCCATTATATCTATATATACAGTAATATATATATATATATATATTTACAGAATAATGAATACTCTGGATTAATTTATTATTTTAAATTCAAGAATACGTTATACCTTTAGTAACTCCATAGAATGTAATAATATTTGGATGGTAATTAACTTTCGTAATAGTTTAAGTTTTCGAAATTTATATACTATAACAAATAATAAATAAATTCCTTAATAATCTTTTCATTTAACTGCATTGACTTTAGGATATTCAAGAACGATTGTTAATTCTCAGTCTTTCTATTCACATTTAGAAACTATTTTAAAATACTCAGAACCAATTACTACACGATTACTTTAGTAAATTTACTATAATCAAGATAATCAATATGCTCATCAGAAATGGCGCTTTCAAGCCTTTCTTCCAAAGTATTTTATTAAAAGATTTAACTATATCGTTTGATAAATAATAATGTGCATCTGTATACGTTTACATACTACCTACTATAGTACTATAAAGAGTTTTTGCTTAACATATATTGGATTTCTAGAAAGTCACGGTGCATTTGATGTGCGATATACGTGTGTAAGTGCGTACTATGTAAATCAAGAACTATGTGTAGCCATATGTATTAGTCATTGTATGCGAAGCAATTTCAAATAGATGCACAGCGGTAGTTTCGGAAAGATTCAACCTTTTTTTTCTCTATTTAAAAACAATGAGGAGTTTTTTTATAAGAATTTTTTATGTTTAAATAGCAAAACGATTCTATAGCTTTACTTGTAGAAATATAATATTGGTCTTTATGAAAATTTATCATATAAATTATCGAACCGTTAGGGTTATGTCTATAAAGTTATCAGTAACTAGGATGTTAACGGAGCGGTGTGGTACATACTTCAGCAGAGTAACCTTCAACACCACATTACACCCAGAACAGGCTTCATAGTACTATTTTGGAGTATTAAGTTAAACATAACTCGAAGTATTAAATCAAATATACTTCGAAGGATAACCCACTGTATAACCCGGAATATCCCGAAGTACTATTACAATTTATGTACGTACACGTACGTATGTATGCTGTGCAGCCTACATATAAAATCTGGGTTAGGTGCTACAAAAAAGGGGGAATCGACAAAACAAGAGGTCGGTTAAAGCGGAGTGAATTTTGAAAATTTATTTAATTTAACGTTTTTTGATTTATCATTAGAATTAGAGCTATTTGAAGTTATATTTAAGTATTTATAGGTCCCCAACAATTTTCTCTTTTTTCGCTTGTTTTGTTTCACAAAAATTTTACAATTTGATTGGTCGATCGTCTGTCGATCATCAAAAATTTACTCCGCTTTAGCCTACCTCAAAAACAAAAGATCTTCGGAAGATCAGTTTTACAGGCTGTATTTATGATCAACCGGATACTAATTGGTCAAAATAATGAGCATCTGGATAAACTCATTGAATATTCGTTGAATGTCCGAATATTTAATCCAATAAATAAGTTTAACATCAAAAGAATAGATTTTAAAATAATTTCTATTGTGCTGTACATACGATCAAGATGATTTTGAAAAGTTATTGGTAACGTTTCATTAAATTTTATCATAATTGTAATTTTGTTTTATCATCTAAAGCTAATTTTTTCAAGCCAATCATCAATTTTACCATAAATATTATAGGCACTAGCCGTTCTTGTGGATCTTAATCCATGCATTGATTCATTAATTCAACATAATAATCAAGAGTTATGGAACGCAATCTTTACAATCTCAACTCCAAGTTTAGTATCAAATTTATGTTCGCCAAAAGCTATTTGTTCGGTTGATATTTCCGCAAAAATCCAAAAGTATTTACTGCCTGTGTAAATCGCTATTTACCTAATAATATTTCAGGAGCAGTATAAAACATCACCTTATAAAACACATTAGTCTTTCTTCCTAGACAATCCTAGATCTGCAATGTAAAATTATGCATTTCATTAGTACATTGTCTTGCAAAATGTTACCACTATGAAAATCAGCACGAACATATCCTGCACGGATGTAATATTATGTATCTCAAATTAAATATTTAATTATTCCATATATTGCTAGCTTATTAAAACTTAATTTATATTTTATAAGAATCGTAAAGTTTAATAATGAATTGATTCACCAAAAACTATAATATAATTTGTAAAAGCAATAAATTAACTTACTTCCTTTAAAAATTAATGGACAATTTTTTTGAGTGTAACGGTAGTAGATGGTTCATGTGCTCTTACATAATTACGCCATCCACCAGGTTGCTGAATTTAGAGCCGAGTTTTCCTTTGTCGATTTTCTTTAATGCATATAATTTGTTGAATGGAATCCAATCAATTACATCTTCATATTCAAAGGTTCTAGATCAATATCTTCATTTGTACTTGTCTATCCTGGTTTGCGTAACATTCCATTCCTAGTTTTAGTTTGATATTTTAAATTTATAAAAGTTAAGCAAATTTTAATTTTCTTAACATTCAATTCATTAAAATTCCAACGCAACTTATGGCAATTTAGTCCCGATATAAGTTTGATATTAGCGTACAACAACAATAAAATGAAAAGAACAGTATAATAGCAAATATTTGCATGCTTAAATTTCATCATCTAATCCGTGTTAAGTCTGATTGGATAACTAACTACGTATCTCATGCTTAATAGTAGTACTATAGTAATACAAATAAATAATGGAGTTAATATATATATCAATATCTGATATGTAATATCTTATTAGCACGTGACAAACAAAGAAAAAAAGATTTACATTTTATTAATGTTGTCACTCCAAAATATTTACATTTTTTACAGCCCTATAAGAAATTTTATCCGAATAACTTCATTATTTTCCCATATTTATTGTGAAAATTCCGTGAATTTGCAACATGATCGACAAAATCTAGACAAGCCGAATAATCTCCATGATT